ACAAGTCCCAAATACTAGGGCTACGACCGTGTCTGTGGGGCATGTTCAAGCACCTACATGTTAGTTTCCCCACTTGAATACACTGCAATAAGGAAAAACTCTAAATAATGCCAAGGTCACAGATCCTGAACTACAGAATTCATGGAAGGCTTCACTGTGATCTTTCAGTTCGTAATGGACTAAGACAGGATGTGATACAAAATTCATTTTGACACCATGAAATAGAATGCACATGGGGGTTGGGGAGGGGGAGAGACCCAAAAAGGCATCAGACTGAGAAGTATGCAGCACCACAACATACTTCTCATGCTGGATTCATAGCAGTGAGAAATGGAGACACACTGATGTGTGTTTGCTGTTCACATCATCCCATGTGCTGGGCTGGGCCTGACACGGGATGTGAAGGCTCAGAGCCTGAGAGGTCACGATTGCATTGACTGATCGTTAAAGCATGGCTGCCTTATTCTAGGAGCCTTATTCTAAACTCCAGGAGCTCGGAGAGGCTGCGCCAGCAAATACTTGAAGTTGGACCTTTGGTCTTCGGAAGATATGCTTTTGTCTTTGGTTGTTTTTCTCGAGCGCCTATCGTTTTGTTAGGTGCCTTCCACACTTTCCATCCCACCTTGTTGCTTATTGGCTATAAAGTTTTTTACTCCTGTAATCAGATCAGCTAACAACCCACTGAACTTACTTCATTGTATGCAGGACCTACTCAAAGGGCAGTCAGGGGTCAAGAATGTTTTGATAGTATAATTGAAAGTTCTTTTCAAGTATGGAGCTTCCAGTACCCTTTCATAGGAGGGAAGAAATCAGAAAACCTTAACGAAGGCAATAGAGTTGAAGAAAGGTAACTTTCCTCATGTGATGTCTCTGAAAACCAAAACCAGCAAAAATAAGCAGGACGTTCTGAGCACAGATACTAGGGAAATTGACTTCACAGTCTCTGTCTCAAAGCTGACCTATGACTGTCTCATTCCTGTGGCAGGTAGAATGGTCTGCAGGACGCTGGCGGTAGCTTCACCCCAGACCTGTTCCCATTTCTTCTTCTTCTTTTCAAGGCTTCCTTTTCCTTACATGGAATAGCTCAATACATATTCCTCCAAAAATAACTATCTCAAAGGGATTTCCTAACTGATGGGTGGATCAGATTCATATAAGAAGGTCAGGACCTTGTTTTAAAATCACACACTTCTATGACAAAAGGACATGTCAGATGTAGGTCCTTACACTGCACTTAGGCCCTTTTCCACCCGATGTGGGAATTTCCACCTGTGGTCCCTGCATTTGCTACTGTGGGCAGTTTATCAAAGCTCCTTGGGGGTTGGTGAGGGGGTCGGGAGCTGACGCTCTTCATCAGGCAGTTAGTTACGGGGTTTCCTCTGCTTTCTTCAGTTTGAAAATGTAGGTAAGGGTTTGATGCCTGACCATAAGTTATGACTCAAATCTTAAAAGAACTTCTAAGTCCTTTAAGGATTTCTGCTAGCTTTTTCAGGGGCCCTGCAGACGCAGCACCCTTTCCTAATAGTGAGGTACAGATGCGAAGAAATCCACGTGCTCCCACAGAAAGAAGAGCGGATGACGGGGGAGGGGAGACAGTCCCACTGGCAGGGGTCCAAGGCTGCTCTAGTCACTGAAAAGTCAAAACAAGGAACACCTCCGTGATTTACGGAGAGAAAAACAACTTCTGAATTTCTACCCCTGGCATCTGCTCCTCCAACTTTCCACTAAAACTCTGTCAACTGCTAGACTACACTGAGTTTGCTCCTGTATCAACTTTAACTGTTCTCAGCCATGCTGACTGGTGTATTTTTACACAGCAATCTACTGATAACAGCATGTTGTTTCATATCTGAGCTACAATGAAAAAAAAAATACCAAGTGTTTTGGTAGATGGAAACTTACAAGGATTTCCTATTCATTTCTTTTGGATTTTCTTGTCCACTGCAAATAATGTGGCACCTTGCCAAAAATCCACCCTTCCCACCAGGCATATACACCCTCACATCTCCAAGGAAAGAAATCTTACTGTCTGGAAGATTCAGTGTTGACCATCTTGTTATTCATTCAGTTTCTATTTCCAAAGTTAGTACTAAGTCAAAGACTATAAAAATGATTGCAGATCAGACGTTGGTGGGTGCCATCTTAAAGATATCTTTAGTGGAGGCATAATCACGACCTCATCTCAGAACACATCATCGAACCAACTTTAGAGAAACCTTTGACTTGTGCTCACTAGGCCCCGAGGGGAGGGGAGGTGGGGCTGGCAGTATGAGGGCCCTGAAATTCTTAGTAGCATTTTAAATGTTCACAGATGGGCTATGTGCATTTGAGAGAGAGAGAGTCTGTTGCTTTCCTAAGCTTCTTTCTCAAAGGGGCTCATGTCCCCTCAAGTGATTAAGAACCTGCTTCTGAATGTCAAATATGAAATTCAGGTTTTAGCATGAAAGTGAAAAATTTCTGAAACATCTGGGAATGACAACATTTTCATGTTCAGCTGGATCTTGACTAGACTATGGGTCACCTGAAAGCTGTACTATTCTGATCTCCCTAGTCTTCAGTGTTTATTTCTCAGGAAATCATTTAAGTTATAAAACTAAGAATCAAAACTGGATAAAGTCGCCTCGTATTTGGGTCCCTAACAAGTTCTTATCTTTTCAACACATTTAGTAATGAATTCCTTTGTAAAATATCAAAGTTAAATCCTGCCCATGTAATTTACAAAAGTGATCACTGATCATGCAATATTCAAACAGGAGCATCGTTGGTCTGTTTTTACACATAAAAACCAAGGAGATGAGGAGGAAGAGTACTATAGAATTTAGACAGAGAAGAAACATTTTCCACAGAAATTCTCAAGTTTAAAAACTTGGCATTCAAATTTTTTATAAGAAAGCTATTTTCAAAGATTTAAATCTTAGATTAAAACTTTCCTCTTAGAGAGTAAGAATTCGGTTCAAATTTACAAAATTCAAATATGGGAAAGTACGCTACTTTAAATTTATAAGTGTACACAACATGTTTAGCTCTTTGTTTTGTTTTTATGTCTGTTAGCTTTAGATTTTTCTCTTGGCACACTCAAGGTCGCTTTTTCAAAATGTGGGCTCTATGCCAATAAACAGAGATGAGCTAATTCCGAAGGCCGCCACTGTATCTGAACAGGGCCTACTTCTCAAAGGGCTGACATGCACCCGTAGTGCACAAAGACACACGAATATGCACTTGACGCCAAAGGCATTCTATTGCTAGGAATACATAATACACAAATCTCGGCTTTATGCATTTGCTTAGGAACCCGCAATTTTCCAATATGTATTCACAGACCACATCTTTACCCTAGGCAAGCTGTTATAGTGCACTCCTGTCAGATGGAATATATGAAAACAATACAGAAATTAACTGTGGCAGGTGCATTGATAAGCCTCCAGACTCAGGATTTCTTTTTTAAGTTGCAGCACAGAAAGCAGTAGAGAACTCACTGAGAAGTGAAAGCATAAAGATCCTTCTGAAGGTAACTTCTCAAAGGCTCTGTTAAGGCCATTGGAAACTCCCAAAATTCAAAGGAGATGGTTACTGACCAAAAAATAAAATAATGCTCAGGTCATCGTAATTGGCAGCTCTGGTACTGGAACTGATCCCAGAATGTACTTTCTAGATGGGTGGTGGGTGGGGTGGAGGGGGCATCTCCTGAAATGGCCTTTATTAGCTAGTATGGCGCATGTCAGAAATGGTTGCAGCCTCAGGGGCAGCGATGTGGCCTCACAGGTATTGGGTGCCTGCAGTTCCCTCAGCTGTTTTGAGGAAGGGGGTGGGAGAAGCATCACACTGGTTAAAAGCAACTCAGGACCAGGATAAAGGAAGGGGCATCTCCTTGCTATGCCTGGAACTGCCCTAGGAAGACAAAGGAGCCCTTGGCAGACACCAAGGCCAGTGGAATTGAAAACTGGCAGATGAATGCCCTTCACTGAAAAAAGAAACTATACGAGTATAGGAGCCTCTCTACACAGGAAAAACATATTTCCAACATGATTTTCAAACAGACTCAGTGAGTGCCTCCTCCTCAACCATATGGAAAAGGTTTGGGGACCAGCACCCTACTAAGCTACTTAAATTACAGTGACTTAGGACTTAATTATGCTATAGGATGGGATAAGAGCTTTAATCCCGAACATTAAACATTGCATTAAATGGTTTCAAGCAACGACCTGCTTTGATCTCTGCTCATCCACGTAAGGATTATACAATCTCAATGCCCTGCATTCTTAATGTTTACCGAAAGCACTGGTAAGCTTCCCATTGAAGATGGATCCCTTACATTTATAGAGAAATGTAACCTTCCCCCCCTTCCATATTACATTACAGCAGAGCTTACTTTTGAGGCAGGAGCCTAGAAACTCCAAATTGTGCACCAGACCCTTAATCATCTGGTGGCAGAAACCATAACGATGCTCCGGCCACCAGGATCCTCACTGACAGTTAAGAGGACCTTAAGCTATGAGTCCGGAGAGCAATTGTGAAGATCCACCACAGAAAAAGACAAAAACAAAACAAAAAAACCAACACACAACACAGAGTCAAATGGTCTATAAAATGGTTCAGGTAACCCCATTTCGCAGATAATTTTTGTTTTTCATCTATTTTTTCTCACTTGGGCAGAAGATGGAGGCAGTGAGTGGATGGAGCAACAAGGCAGCCAGCCCATAGCTCGCTGAGGGGTGACTTGCAATGGATGAAAGAAGCAGCAGGAACACCCAGACATAACCTCAAAACATTTCCTTATTGCTTTTTTTTTTAAAAGCCTCTGCGAGGCTTTATAGAATGAATCAAAGAATGAAGCTCTGATGAAAGTGATATTCTACACATCAAATCTCTCTGTGTGTGTGCCAGTGTAGTACATATGCATATCTGCATATATCTGCCCACGGAGCACACAAACTTACTCAGGGGAAACAGCCTGGATATTAATTTGGAACTCAAATGACATGGTTACACATAGATCATAGTTTCTAAACACAATGTTAGTAAAACAGAATTTATTTGTAAAACAGGACCTGTTATATAAAATGGCACACAATCGAGTTATACAAAAATACAAAATTTCTTTCTGATTACAGTTCTAGTTGCGAGAGAGAATTAGAAAGCATTCCTGGCGGTTTCCAAATAGTTGAGATTGCGAGCATTTGGAACAGGGAGCAGCAAGGGTCCATGATGTTGGGATGTCCGAGCGAGCAGAACCCAATTTCCAAATTCAAGCCTTCCATCAGGTCACTCTGGAGGGACACCTCCTAAAACAGCTAGCTCCTCGAATGTCTTCTGTTTTGATACCCATCTTCCAGATTTTTGCCAATCATAAATTTAGCTCCCAATGTTCCTTAATGTCCCAAATCTGTGTGGCTATGAAACAGAAGGTATTCTGAATTTTCTTAGATGATTTGCTCTCTCACCTATTTGGATAATTTTTTGTTAGTTACATAATTATATTTATTCCTTTTTGCTGATATAAAATAGTACAATGATACAGTTTGTCAATGTTAGATGTTAACTTCTGGAGAATTATTGTTTCAAAATAGTGACTCTCACATGTTGGTTTCCCAGATCTTGCCAAGACATGAGCTCCTAACTGTGTGTTTTCTTTTTTTAATAAAATTTCTGATTCTTATTGCAAATATTCTGAAAAAATCAGAAATATTACATGAGCTTTGAAAAGAAACCAAGGCATTTTAGCAAATTTTAGCCTAGCTAAAGAATACAGATACTTAAAGAAAAAAATAAAATTTACCTTTTGCAGCAATTTAAAGGCCCAACCCTTTGAAAGGAAGCACATTAGCAAACAGTTGCTTATTAATCCCTACTGACATTAATTGTATGCATTTCCATAATACCGGTCCAATTCACTGTCTAATTCTGGTAGGAGACAATGCTTTCTTTCAAAAGATTCTCCTTCCATGGAATGATAAAATGCTGAGGCTTTTCTTTTTCTGTACAGAGCCTGTATTTAGTGCAATAAGTTTAAAAAATTTGCTCTGAAATATTTACTTTACATTAACAAAAATAGCCTTTTTTAAAAAAATTGTAACAAAAAGGAGTTATCGCATAAACAGATCATGAATCATTCTTAGCAAATTACACTTTTTTTTCTTAAAGCATTCACCATTACAATAAGCAGAACAATGGAATATTAGCCATTCATATCTGGTAAGCTTCAGGAATAGAAGAATCAATCAAACAAACCAACAAACAAAACCCCATAACCCAGCCCCAAACAAACAAACAAACAAACAAACAAAAACGTTCAACACTCGAGGATCAGAACATTAACCAATTCTTCAGTTAAACATTGTAGAATTCTGGATGCTTCATGAATTGCCAAGGAGAGGAGCACCCTCCATTCCGTTTTCCAAGTTTATAGCATTTGTATAAAATGCCTATTTAGCCCTAAACCACTGGAATGGCCAATGCTTTGTGTTCAGTGTTTCTCTCCCTTCACTATCCCTCCCAGTATTACTTAATCTGCAAATCAATACACAGAAATTTGGAGGCTACATAAACTCATTGGGTGCTCCAGCTTCCTCTCAAATCAGGCACAAAATGTGTGAAAGATGCTATTAAAGTAAAAAAAAAGGAAGACAAATCATAAGAAAAAAATTTGCATAAGAAAGATCATCTATCCTTTTCTTTTTCACCTACTCTCCTATAGAAGCATTAGGGTAAACTACAAATACCTGAGGAGTTGGTTACTTTTTAATGTTGGCTGACAAATGCACGAGCGATTATGAAACTTCCCACAGTGGGTCCTCTTGTGTGTTTCTCAAAGTAAAATGACATGGCTTCTTTGATTGGGGAAAACTGGAGTAATTCCTTATTTCTCTGAAAGCATACACCTAGTCTGGTCCCACTAGGACTTATTCATCAGGAAAATAAGATCTTGATTTTATGCATGTGTCAGGGAAATCACCCCTGAATAAACTTTAGACAGAGAATTCGGTACAATAATTTTACCTAATTTAAATAACGAAAGTTAAAATCTCCTCTAAGTTATCAAAAATGTGAATCAGATATGAATCTTAACATTTCCATTAAGACAATTACAATTGAAAACATTAAATGACGGCAGTTGCCTTGTAAAAGCCACCCGTATGAAAGGAGTACATGTTCGACAAAAATAAGCATAAAAAAGGTATTAAATCCCTGTTCCTTTTCTCTGATTTTGGCTGATTATGTGTGTGTGTGTGTATACATATACTTACACACATACATACACACACACACACAGTTATGTGTATATATTGGTTTGGAATGTCAATGGGTTCCATAACGGTCGGCTAGGTTCAAGCGGAACTTGCTCCCGAGGCCTAGAAAACAAAGTCACACAGAGTATCATCTTAGACAATTACCGTTAGAAGGAGATCATGAACGATGTTACAAATGCATAGATGGTCACAAACAGCAACAAAGCAAAAGGAGCTGAGAATCCTTCTCCCCTGAGCCTATATTCCAGGGGCTGTGATGCGATTGCATGCTGGAAACCACACCGCTGTTCTGGAAAATCTCTGAGCTCTGCAGCCTCTCTGGCCTACGCTGCTAGAGCGCCCGGGTTTTCTCTCTCTCTTTCCTCTGTAGATGCTTTCCTGCAGATGACCAGATGTCTCTTGCTTAAACCTCTATATCACATTTGGTAAATTTTCCTAAAATCATTTTCAAAGATTTAGAGAGAGAGACCTCACAAACCTTCCAAGTTTTCTTCACTAGCAGGATCTCTCTCTCAAAAAAAAAAAAAAGTCCAAGAGGAAAACTGTGAGTACTTATATATCCAGTTCAATGATCCCTCTGTCAAAAGGAAAATTTTAAACCTCATTTTTTTCTGAACATTATTTTATAGGCTAAAAATAAACCCTAAATTAAAATATCCCATAAGGAGGGAAGGTAGGCTGTGAACTCAAACAGTAGCATTTCTACAAATATGACGAACTAGGTATGCCAGCATTCAAGAACTCTCATCTAAGGGAATAACAAATACAAAGAAGTATACCCAATTCTACCAGTCCCCAAACTTCAGGGGGGAATTTCTCAGCTAGTTCTTTAGGGACACATACAAGATGGTGGTGGTAGTAGGGGGTCCACTCTTACCATGCAAACTGTGGAAAAGAGATAAGAATGAGAGGTACTGATGGGTTTAAAGACTTTAACGACCCTGTGAGCACCATCTCACACTTCTCTCCTGAGGAGTTTTTTTTGCCACTTAAACCATCATTCTTAGGGACCAAATACTATAATATGCAAAGCACCAGAAGAACAATGCACGTAAAAGATGTATTTGGGGACTTGCCATTAATTGCAAGCAATGAACTGATGAACAACAACAAAATAAAAGCAAAACCTGAATGAAGATTTGAATGCATTGTTTGAGTTAAGTGTCATTAATTTAAAACTGAAAGCAATATAGGGGGAAAACATTTCTCAATTTTTGGCTTCTGGTAGAATGCCACATAACCTAGTATTATTAATTATGAATAAGGGGTTTAGGTAAACTTGCATTCTGGTCTACCACAATCCTTCTATCTTTCCCTCAAGAATACGGAACTACATGCCAATCAATTACATGGTCAACCTAGCTAGTCCCAAACCTCCAAATATTTCTCCCTTTCTTTAAATGCTTATCACTGCACAATAATTGAATGGAAACTTCAACCACTGGAAAGACAGAGGAGGGGGGGGAAGGATGGTTTACATTTTAAGATTTTCTACACCTTTTTTAAGTCTTAGGCTTGGAACCTTATTTCCTGAGTAATTAGGACAGGCAAGCAATGGTAAGAAAGAAGTCTTCCTCACTTTTCCATGCCACCATAGGGCTGGCACAATCTTCACTGCCCTCCCCTCGGCCTGCGTGAAGTAAGAGGGGTACAGAGAGAAGGGCTAGGGAGGCAAGGCACCTGACTGGCGGGATTGCTGGTTGGCGTCTCTTGCCCACTCAATCCAGTTCCGGCTAATGCACACTTTAAAGTAAGAGCTATATAACCACTGGCTACATCCTTTTACTTATGATCAGAGTGATCTGTGCCTTGGGAATCTAAACATTGAAATTATGCTTCATAACCATCAAAGCTATTAAGAACATATCAAAATAGGTACTGGAAGGGATTCAGAGAAAAGTGTTTATATCTAAATATTCTGCTGAGACTTTTATTTAGGTTGAATATGTGATTATTTTCCATATATACATATATACACGTATATATATAATTGAAAACTGAAAGCATATATACATATATATATACATATATATATGTGTATATATGTATATATATAGCTTCCTCCACTCCCCTTAAATGAACCCACTTCCTTTACTCTTACATATTTAAATGGGCTTGTTTTATATTACATAGTTCTTACATTGGAAAACTATGAATCAATCCATTTATTAAAGTATAAAGAAGAAAAGAGAGACTTTACCTCACATTTTTGGATACTATATGCAATTAGAAGGCAGATTATTTAAAATTAATTGTTTAAGGCAATTATATAATATTTGAAATAAACATGCTATTTAAGAACAACACATTTGTAAAATATGTAGTAATTAGACCAATATATGCTAGAGACATCTGTTGTTATGCAGCAGTGAGAACATCTATCAGCTTAGGAGTCTCCTTACAATGATTAACTTTAAGGTGCTTTCCCCCGCTCCCCCCCGAAATGATAGTAGAATGTCTGTATCACTGACCAGAGAGGTAACTTATCCTTCCCACAATTGAGCTGAGGTTGGAGAAGACCAGGTTGTCTTATTGAGTGGAAAATGTGGGTGTTGATGAAAAGAGACTTGTTTGCTACTGAAAAATAGCTTTAGAAACAAAGAAAGTACAATCCAGGCAACAGAAGAAAAAGTCAGCCAAGGGGAAAAGACAGAAACATAAACAAACCAATATTAAAAAATGGGGGAGTATGGATTTTAGCAAGTTGAAAGGAACTGCTCTTATCACCTTCCAAAATGACAAAACTCAAACCGTCAGTTCGAGTGCACAACCAAATGTTCAGTCCAATGAAAACTAACCACTGACAGTTACAAAGGAAATTTAAAAAAACAAAACCAGAAATAGCAATTTCACCTTAGGGACAAAACTATGCCCTACCCTGCCACGACCACTCTTCATTGTGACAATGCTGTGTTCCTTTCAGCTTACTTTTACAGAAGGCAGTCTCAGGCGTGACAAGAATTCTGCCATCCAAGTGATGGGTAGACACACAAACAGAAAGAGCAGCACGTCCTGCGTGATACAGACAACAAACGCTTCTCCCGAGGAGGCGCAGTCGGTGAAGACAGAGAGAGAGAGGAAGTGAAAGTGAAACTCGGGGAGGGCGGCCACCTCCTCATCCCCACCTACCATCGGTTTCAGCTCTCTGGCATCAGCAGCGCCTCCCTTCCCAGCTTCCTTCATTGCTTTCCTACTGTTTTCCACAAACTCCTGCAAAATAGGGACCAAATGGCAAAATTCTTAGGTCCTTTCACATTCTAAAGAACATTCACATTTTCGACTCAATACTGGTCAATGGAGGCCTAAAACCATAGCCAAAAATAATAGTAGCAGACATAAGAGCTGCAAGGTGTGTGGGGATGAACTGCAGTCTGTTGATAGGTAATATATTTTTCCATCCATTCATTGTGTCAAGCTCACTTATGAGAGGTAATGTTAGTTCTAGCCCAAAGAGAAAATACCTAACTTAAAAAAAAAGACTATTTCCCCATAGGGAGAATCTGTTTTATTTGTTGATTTACTTTTTCCATATCATGGTTAAATGGAATAGCAAAAACATTTTACTTCATAAGCCTCCTCTTTAAAATAAGCCTAGATGCTAAAAGAAAGCACTGATACTATAAGCACAGAATAATGTTTTTACCAAATCGTAAATAAGCTACTTTAAGAAAAGTCTACCTGGGCTTGGAATTACTCCATAAAGCAGGAAAACGGTGCAACCACCAGAGCCCGTGGTCAGAAGTACCTGAGACGGGATTGGCCCCCAAGAAAACGTTCCTCTCTTGTCAAAGCACTTCGTTAAATACCCTCCTCAATCTTACAGAGAAAACTAAAAGGAGAAAAACTGTCTTTTTTGCTCTGCTTTGATCAGTGGCTGGAATACAAAAATAAACACTTCTCCTAAATGCTATAGTCACAAAAGAGATGCAATTATCATGGGCCAAATTCCACTTTGAAAATGTCCAAAATTTAGTTGATGATGTGCTCGGGAAAAGAGATAATCAGTACCAAATAGGTCAGTTAACTCATTGGATAATTTTGCAATTAAAAAAAAAATCTAGTTTATTTATTAACACATTTATTTTAAATAAATATAATTTAAATCCATTCTCCTGGAAGCTGGCTTTTATTTTCAATATCTAATATTGAGATAGTTTTCAATATTATCCACTCTTAAGATAGGAATATTTCACAGCTTAATAGCGAGCTGGTATTATTAAAAAACATCTTTAAGCCCTGGCCAGATGGCTCAGTTGGTTGGGTGTTGTCCCATACACCAAAAGGGTTGCGGGTTTGATTCCCGGTCACGGCACATGCCTAGGATGTGGGTTCGATCCCAGTTGGGGTTATGGGGGGGTGGGCAACCAATTGATGTTTCTCTCTCACTTTTCCTCTCTCTAAACATCAATAAATATATTCTCAGGTAAATGAAAAAAGAAAAAGCACCTTTAATTTTGTAGTATCTAGTATTTAAACCATTTAACATAATTTCTAAATTTAAAAAAAGGTTTCATTGAGGTTCTAATATAGGGAAGCTGCAGAGGTGACGTAACTATAAAGAATCTGAATGTACCTGTGTAAAGGTTCAGATCCTGAATAATATAAAACAAGACAATCTACCAGTCATGGGTCTATTCATCTATATTCATTACAAAATGCCTTTCATTTGGCCTGGCATACTTAGGATAATGAGTTTTAATGGAGTAGACAGCAATAATACTTGGAAAAGTGGTGGATAGAGAAATACAGGGAGTTACTAACTACAACCTGGGAACTAAGACTTTTTGTCTTTGAGCCCCACCCCACAGGAAAGTGCACTTAGAACATGGTCCAATGTTTTAATTCTAATTTAAGGGTTAAAAGTCAGGTTTAAAAGTCAATTCAAATCTGTCTAATTGCAGAGAGCGGGGCAGCAGAATGGAATAGTGCGGACTCAGGCCTATTAATGGGTACTGCTCTAGCTAAGTGGATCTTAAATGGTCTCATCCACGCCGAGAGGGCCTTCTTCCCTGGCTCTCCCAAGACCAACCTCATGCACCAGTGTTACAGGTTTAAGTTTATTAGTCTTTTCATCCCTAAAGCAGTAGAGGGCATTGGAAGTACTTACCATCAGTACTTTATCCATATAGAATTCTCTGCCAGGGCTCCCATCATTGTATTTTGTATCAATGGCAAAACACAAGAATAATACATCCACTACCATTTCATAAATGGACAGGAAGCAATGAGCGACTAGGAAAGCAAAGAGGCAGACGATGATCAGAGGCAGCACCCATACTGTGTAATCTTGCTGGTAGTTGAGCAGCATAATCCCAGCCAAGCCCGTGCTGCAGACTATCAGCACCTGAGGCAGAGAGAACAAAGACCATATGTAATACCCTGAGGTAGAAACCACTATTTCGTCATCCTTGGCAGATGTAAAATTCTCTTTACTACTTATATGTGATGGTCACATGAGTCCTTTCCATCTCAAATTAGAAAGTATAACCCCCATATACACACAGAGGTATACATGTATATCATATAATATAAATTTAAAGAGCCATCCTTGTTGACATTAAAAATAATCAAGTTTTCCAAATGTTATGCTTGTTTTCTAAAGCTTCCCTTATTTGGCACCTGTGGCAATTCTTAAGATAAATGTATGCCTTTTTTAGGGGGAAAAATTATGCACATTCTTAGCACTCAGAAGAAGAAAATTACCGACATTTCAGGGTACTGCTACAGATTTTTTTCTAAGCATTTTTACATTTATGAAATAGTATTGTATAAACAAATCATTAAAAGCTCTTCCTTAATATTTATAGTAGCATTATGAATGTTTCATAAATACTTATTCAGCTACATAATTTCATTTTATGGGTGATTTAAAATTTATTTAACAAAAAAATAACATTTATTTAACCATTCTCCTACAGTTGGACATGTATATTGTTTTCAGATATAAATAATGCTGCAACAAACATCACTAAGAGCCTTTTCATTATTTCATATTTTATTTCAAATAGAATATGGGGCAAATTTAATATTATTTGCCATGAAGTTTATATTTCGATTATCTGTGAGAAAAAAGGGTTGCTAAAAACATCCATGAGAATAAAGGAAATAACCAATTTGATTCTTGTCAAGAACCACCTACTCTGATGCCTCATTACCTCATACTCAACACTTTACATTTTTTTGGTGTGTTTTAGTACATTTTATTTCAGTTGTTCATCAACCCTATGAATGGTTTATGGAAAACATTATCATCTCATTTTACAGACTGGGACACATGCTAGCTGACCCACCCAAGGTCAGCAGATACCACTCCAATAATGGTCTTATGACGCCAACTTCAGGGCTCTTTCCAGGTAACTCTGAAAATATGTGGATACTGATACAAAGCAGGAATAAGTTATTTTGAATCTCAGACACATGCTTGCCCTTTACTGGCCTAGCATTAAGCCTTAACAAAGGAAGAATCCTCCAGAACTACCACGGCCTTCCCTTGTCCAGTGCTGAGGACAGTCAGGCCAAGAATTCCGCTTTCATCTCTTCTTTACTATTTATCAACAACAAAGCATCTTTCATTCACCACGAACTTAACCAGGAGTTACAATGCATTGGATAACATACTGGTTAAGCTGTAAAGAGATCCTTCTATCGGATGACTTTAGGGAGCAAATCTGGGTCTGTCCAAGATTTGGAAAACAACTCCCCAACACACACACACACACACACACACACACACACACACACACATGACTCTTCTCTGCTAGTAACTTTTCTGAGGTGATTTCCACAGAGAGCCAATCACATTCACTTTCCACTCTTTTGGTTTCAATTTTAGAATGAGTTCTTTCTTATACTCTTATTCAAGTTTTTTATGTCCACCCTATAGAAAGACTGGGATTCTTTGTGGTCTCATTATGCCACTAAAAGTTAAACCACATTCGGACTGTTAAGTTAGTTATAGGTAGAAGATGGGGCCCAGGCAAACTTAGATGTTGAGAGAAAAAGCTGTTGAGGTGGAAGGTGGATATTGTCACGTGAGAAAAACCTTCGAGAATTATTAATATTTAGGCAAAGAAGTCAAAGGATGTACTAATTATTCCCAAATATAATGGAAGGGTGGCACGCATTTATTCAAGCAGAGAACACAGTGGTTTCAAACTATTAGAGGCAACTAGAAATCACTTGTAGAGTTGGTACATCCCCAAGTCTGATAGGTTGGATCTAAGTGCAGCAAAATGCTTTTTAAAAGTGCCCCATATCCTGGCCAGGTGGCTCAGTTGGTTGGAGTGTCGTCCTGTACACCAAAAGGTTGCAGTTCAATTCCAGGTCAGGGCATACTATCTAAGATGCGGGTTTGATCTCCGATAGGGTGCGTATGGGAGGCAACTAATTGATGTTTCTCTCTCACATTGATGTTTCTCTCTCTCTCTCTAAAAATCAATGAAAACAAATCCTCGAGTGAGGATTTAAAAAAAGTGCCCCAGGTAATTCTGACACAGTCCACAGCCTATAAGAAGTACTGGTCTATATCAGTGATGGTGTAGCACATATACCCAAGGGAGTGTTCAAGAGAATCACCTGGGACTGCTAGTTGTATTTGTCATGTATTTAAAGTTTCTTTTATACTTTGCTGTATAATGTGTATATTAGCAAAGGCTAGACATATAACTCTATTTTAAAGGGGTTTACATATGGTATAGTAATGATGACAGCTAACATTTATTGAGAACTTATAATGTGTCAAGCAATGTCTTAGGTACTGGTACTAACCAATTTAATCCTCACAACCCTAAGGTTTTGGCTTTATTATTATTATTATCCCAAATTTATAAATGAGCAAACTGAGGCACAGAGTGGTTACGTACCACTAGTACATGACAGCTAGTAAGTAAAAGAGGCAGAATTTAAATCCAGGCAGTCAAGCTCCAGATGCAGTACCCCTAACCACTACACGGACTGTTACTTAATACTTCAAAACATTTAAGGAAAAACATAGACAAGTTACACTTAACCACCCCGGGCCTCAGTTTCCCCACCTATAAAATGATAATCCCAATGGATCTTCCTGTACAAATCTGTTGTGAGGATTAAATGAGCACAATACATATACAAAGTACTTAGAAAGGTGCCTAGCACATATTAAGGAGTTTGTACGTGCTTGCTATACTAGTGTATTAAGTTACTTTTAATTTTCTTTTGTTGGGCCAGATGTTTTTTGAAATTAGAGCAAATATATATATATATATTTATATGCAAAAATTTACTGTACATCTCCGGTAATATACTTGCTCTTACCTTGCCGAGGAATAACATGAAATCCCCCACTGTGTTGATGGCAGCCACTCGCAAAGCATTCTCCACGAGAATGACAAAGGCGTCCTTCGCAGAGGTGCAGAAGTTGGTGCTGTTGATAGCTGTGGCTGTGTATGCATTCTGGGCAGAAGCAAAAACAATATTCTCATCAATAAATATAATCCTACTTTGTTAAGATATAATTAAACATAGCTTGTAACAATATTTCACTATTAAACCCATGGCTCTGGTGAGGTATAAGAGTAAGATTCTGAAGCACAAGAAAATATGAGATATTAAAAAAAAAGCCTGATATGGTAAAAAGAACTTTTCAGTAGATTTAGTTTTGGTCCTTTAAAAACACTGAAATTTATGAAAACACAGACTACCTTTCCCATGTCCATAAACTTCTCCCTTGTCTGAGTAAATCAAACAGAATTTAACCTTGCCTAGATGTCTCAGGTCTGTCACTGTGAATACCCATGATGCATTAGTACCATTTCAGTGATGCTTTGGAAGCTACACAAATTGTAAAGGCATCAGATTGTGGTGCTGTCTAATCTGGAACGCCTACCACCTCCTCCTTGGTGCTTTCTTCTCTGCTGTCACTTCTCACAGCTCTTGTAGCGATCGCTGTTTGCTGCCCACTATTCTATACCCCTCCAATCTGGGAGTGGGACCTGCACTCTCATTTGAGGAAACAGCCCTTCCCCACTGTCTTAGCATCTGAGTGGAGCTGATACCACCTTCAGCAGTGGCGATGGGCAAGGATGGGTTCAGAAACTGGCATATAAACGAACCAGGGCCCCTGGAAGTAAATGACATCCCCTGGGGCTTCTGGGAGAAAGAAGTTTCCTTCTTCATCCATAGGTGATCCCTACAGAGCAGCTCTCTCCTTTTCCTGGATGAGGAGCTCTGAGGGTACAAATTGCCATGGATGTTTTGCCAACATAATGGGGAAGAGCCTAGAGCTGCTGGAGGTCACAGTGTGAAACTGAGGGTGAGGCGAACACCATAGAAGTCAGAGCAGAGAGAAATCAGGTCCCTGCACTTGGTGACAATATTTGACATCATTAGGAACTAGCCAGATTTCTGGGCTTTTCAGTTGCAGAAGCTCATACATTGTTAAGAATCTCTACCCTCTCCTGCCACTCCCTCCCCCTTTCTCACTCTCTCTCTCTCTTTTTTAGGTCAGACTGAGCTGGCTTTCTGGCCCTTGTAGCACTGAGTCCCAGATGACATAGTTTTATTCAATTATACCTGCATCTGCTGCCCCGTGTCCTCTTTGACCCACTAGTCACAGACTGATTTCCTCCCTTCTTTTTTACATTTTAGAAGAGCATTGACATTTTCTGGGAAATGTGAATAAGTACTAGAACATCAAATATGTCTGAGCCTTAGGAAAGTATATGAATTTTGTGACGAAAATGTTTGGTCCTGAGGAATTGTTGGTTTAGTGCCAACTCAAGAAATCACTGGAGGGTCCCAAATGTTCAAGTGGCTGGGAGACGGCAGGAAGGGCTGACTACACCAAGCATGTCCAACTTGTGGCCCGTGGGCCGCATGCCTCGTTTATTTGGCCCGTGTTAGCCTTTGAATTTGACATGCTTGCTCTACACTGTGCTGTCTATAAAGGTTCAACACTGAACTAGGGAAAGACAGTCTTTAATTTCTGAATGTTCCAACTGAATGCTTGTTAGTTAGTAGGAACCTGGTATGGAGATGAGGTTTGACTCATCAAAAATTTAATTTGCCATTATATGATTAGATTCACTGATTAAAAATGCAGAGCATTTGAGGGCCAAGGAAAGAGTACTGGACAGCGTAGAGGCTACTTAAGGTTCAGACACTTTTTTCAGGAATGGAGCAATAGGAAATTACCATGCTTTTTTTGAAAAACACAGTATGATTTTAACATATGAAATTCCACCACACAGATTGGGGTAATTTCTTCTCAGAATATATGACCATATTACGTTCGCAGGTCTTTTTGTCTCAAAAGCTAATATATACAGTATGTTAAAGAAATCATTCTGTTAAGTTTTTCTCAGCATTCATTTGCTGCTTACTCTCTTCTATTGTTATCTCACTGTTTTTCTTATCCGTTAAGAGATAGCAGGCACCAAAGAGTTAATTACCTAACTGCAGTGGCCCACATTTCCTCATTTTTACAAAGCTCCTTTTGAAACATTCTATCAAATACCTCCATGACATCAAAATAACCATACGTTTGATCTTGTGCAATAGTAACTCTGCTGAAAAACCATGGAGAACTGTCTTTGTCTGAACAATTCTCAAAAAAGCCAAACTAGCTCTCAGTTCTCACCAGTTCCCTATGTCCCTCACTAAAAAGCACACCCACTTAGCAATTTATCCTAAAGCAGGGGTCCTCTAATGACTGCGTGTGGGCCAAATCTTCCCTGCTGCCTATTTTATAAATAACGTTTTATTGAAACATAGCCATGCTCATTTTTTTTGCTCTTTATTATGGCTGTTTTCATGCCACAATGGCAGAACTGAGCAACCGTGAGAGACTATATGGTCCACGATGCCAAAAATATTTACTCCAAGAGACCAATGAACCAGTTTTAGTCGTCCCTCGATATCTGCAGGGGTTCTGGTTCCAGGATAGCCAATGACAACAAATTCTGACCAGGCTCAAGTCCCTTAGTATTTGCATATAGCCTATGCACACATCCTCCTATATACTTTAAATCATCTCTAGATTACTTATAATACCTAATACAATGTAAGTGCTATGTAAAGAGTTGTTTTACTGTATTGTTTAGGAAATAATGACAAGAAAAAAAAAGTCTGTACATGTTCAGTACAGATGCAGTCACCACAGGACTAACCACATAGTACAGGTCAGCAACACCATAACACCCTTCCCCCCCATGTTTTCCATCCATGGCTGGTTAAATATGCAGATGTGAAACCTGTGGATACGGAACACACAGATATGTGAGGTCAACTGTATTTGATAGTTTTTCAGAGGAAAATCCCCTAGATCACATTAAATATATAGATTATGAGATGCTTCCGGAAGTATAAAAAGCATTATAATGTCTAGAATCAAGGTCACTGAACAATCCATTTAAATCCACTACTTACTGTCTTAAATCCCACCCCCTCAAGGACAGACAACTCTCTTAATTATGCTGTTCTCCCTGCTGCGGTTAGAGCACGACTTTCTTTGACAGGAGACAGAAGCAAGAGAGGAGCCACCACCTGCAAACTCTCTCCTGTCGTCACCAGACCAGCTGCCTCCAGGAGCAGGCCCAACACCTCCAACGTAAACTATAGAAGCTTTCTCGTTGCCCTCCTTCGTGTTCAGCGTCAGTTTACTTGAGAACTATTATTATTCCGCCTCTGCTGCTTCTTTCTTCTCTCCTGATGCTGCCCCACCCATCCCATCTACTTTTATTTAGAGCAGAAGCCCTTCTATTTGTAGACATGGAAGGAGGCAGCGATTTCATTTCTTTACTTCTCAACTCCAGGGTTGGATGGGCTCATAGACATTTCCTGGCAATATTCTTATAGATCTGTGCGTGCAACCTGAGGGGACACTTTATGAGCTTCCTCCCACTGCCAAGGCAGTTAGATGAGCTGCATGTGATCCACACAAGTCAAGATGATCTCTTCAGAAAGAAAAATGTGCTACCGACCACAGCAGGTCAATAACACTTCTCTCTGCTTCTGTGCCTCCTAGTCTAAAAGGAGTCGTGCGAAGGCTCTCAAGAAACCCAGAGTCCTTTGCAGCTTCCCCTGACAGCCTTCTTGATCTGGGCTATCCCGCACAGAGGGGCATCACTGATTAACATTTCGCTCCTGCCCAACCTCTGCTCAGGCAGGACAGAGGCCTCAAACTAATTAACTCCCAGCGCAAGGTAAAAGCTGATCACCCTCCAGGGATCTTTCTACAAGGATGCCTATTAGCCCACGTGGTCACTGGTAGCATTCCTGTGTGACAGGATACAGTGGAAGCAGTGACCATGTGGAAGGAATACGTTAGGACAGAGGTCACCATGCAGGTAACTCAGACCTGTGTGGCCATCTGTCCCAGAGCACAGCTTCCACAGTCTCACACCTTCTTTCTTTTCTTCACTTAATTCTCTAGAAATTCTCTTAAAGTTTAAAATCTTACATAATAACATGTGATAAGGGCAGGCTAGTCGGCAATGGTAGGAAAAGGTAAACAGGATGTGTGCACCTCTATGTGTGGGTCATTATAAATGAAATGAGGGAAAAGGCAATTAAAATGATCCCTTTCTTATTTAGAGTGAGGGATGAAAGGGGCACAAAGTCAAACTTAAACCATAGATTTCATTCAGTTGGGTTGTAAGTTTTTAGACTTTTTAGGGGTCACCAGAATTAAGCTGATGTTGCAAGTATTAATTAAAATAGACTGGCTTTAAAACCACTTGTCTTAGCTTACAGCATGATACATGAAAATGTGAGATGTTTACTTATTCTCTATAATAAACTATAATTTAGTGTTCTTTATATTGCACAAAACGTGTATATATTTATACAAGAGGCAGTGTAATATTAAGGGAAGAGCTGAGTGAACTTAGATTTGAAAACTTCCTCCACCTCTAGCTTATGTGATTATTTGTCATGAGATGCCCAGTCTCAATTTTGTCATCTAAAAAACAGGGGAAAGGAGTTGTGGAAAGTGATAATATACATAAGTGCTTAGTATAGTATCAGCTAGTGGTGCTCAAAAATATTCCCAACTTCCACGCATGCCATATAGAGAACAGCTTTATAATCTGAAGAGTTTATGAGCCAGAGAGCAGTGTGAAATGTACTACCTTCAAATGGTGCCAGATAAACCAAGGCCTGCGTAATCCAATGCCTAAAAGAAACAGATCCTGGGTGTAACAATCTCTCTACCTAAAGTGAATCCTACCTGTTACATTAGATATATAATCACCTGCATGTCCCATTAAGATAAGCACCTACAAAAACAAAGAGTGGCTGGCTCACAGTTCACGGTTTATTTGTAAAACACACACCTCTGCTGCAAATACTAAATGGGTCATTTAAAATATCTAAAGCTCTTTTTTGAAGCCAACTGTATTTCCCCTGCGGTGTGGCAGTGGAGCATGGTTTAGGGATTAGGAATCTCCTATTGTGCTGCAAAATGACTCCAGCCTACTCTTCCTCCGTATCAACACTCTTCTTTACTATGATCCCCTAAATTCTTTAAAGCAGAGGCAACAAACTGGTGGTCCATGGACAACTGACATTGTGTGTCCTAAAGACCTATTTGCTCTGGCCCACTCAGAATTCTGTTTTTTTAAAGAATTAAAGAACCATGGCTAGAGAGGAGAAATTCTTAGGGAAAATCAAAGATAAAAGGATGCATATTAAGGCATAAGAAATAAATGTCTTTCCCAAGATAGAAATCCTAATATTTTATCCATGTATCACAATTAATAATGAGCCTTGGTAAGTACGTATGCTACTTTTAAAAATAAGAATATGATTGAAATAGAGATACTTGATCAAGGCACAATGTACACACCATGAGAAAACCAACACCTTTCAAGTAAGCTCAATCCTTTTATCTTGGAAGAAGAAAAGACAAACCTATCTTTGAAAGTGAATCTTAGAATGATTTTTAAAACATTTTACCTGATTTAAATAATTGAGGCACTTTTCAAGACACCAAAGGCAACAAATGCAAGATTTCAACATACATCGAGCACAGGCATTTTCCTGGAAAGGAGGAAAAGTTGAAATAATTGTTGAAAACTCAAAGAATTACACCATCATCAAGAATACTCCAAATGTTAGAAAAATAAGAAATTTTAAAAGCACAAACTATGCTTCCAAGCTTCCATACCCACCCCTCTTTCCACTTAAAATGTACTGACTGAATTATTTTTAATCAGTTCAAGATTTATTTAGTACCTATTGCATATAAGATATAGTGAGGTATAGAAGACCAGCAAGGAACTTACAATCTAGGAGGAGGAAAAAAAATGCTAAACACACAAAAAGATTAGAATCAAAATCTGACATAGGTACTAGTGCTATGAGAGTGGAGAACAGAGAGAGAGACATTTGTGAGATGGGAGGAATCAGGGGAGGTTTCTCAGAAGAGGTGTTATTTGAGCTAAGCCATGTTGATATGCATATTATTTCCACTATCGAGGAGAGGGAAGAGGTTCTAAGGAGGAAGGTGGTGAGTTAACACAGAGGAAGAGACACTTTTGGAAACCAGTGCTGAGATGGATTTTGCTTGAGCATATGGAGTGCAAGGGGGGTGGGGGCGAGGGAGGAAGGGCTGGGTTCCACTTTGTCAGGAATCTGAAGAAAACAATGGCAGCTTTGGACATGACGTCATTGGGTGCAGGAGTGAGGTCTGGAATGTGCCCATGGAAAGTCCAAAAACGTATTTTCCCCTTACCTTTCCTTTCAGCTGACTGTGAATGTACATAAGGATCATTCGTGGAATCTTGACTAATGTGATGATGAAAGATCCTTTGGCCACAGTACCAAGGTGATAACGGACAAGGCGATTCACTGATGCCAAAATAGGTGTAAATGGCAAATTCCTTTTATCCCTATTTTTAAAATGACCAAAAAGACAATTAAAACAGAGCCTAGGCCAGGAGGGAAACACAGGAATGTTTGGAGTGAAAAACTGGTTCATTTTTCTTACTGTAGCTTTACGACAAAAATGTCAAAGTAATATAGTAGAACTAATATAAATGCTACATGTGTACCATATAAAATTAATGTGTCATTTCTCTACAGTAGTGTCATGGGGTTCTTAAGCTCTAATATTTTAAGTTAAATACAACTGTGCTTTGAAAGCTCTTGGTAGTAAATACTTATGACGTTAATTGTACAATCAGAAAATGGAACTTAAAAAGATGTTCAACCTGGCACCTTATTACAACAGATATGATAGGCCTACAGCGGGTATTCAGCTCTGAAGTCAGGAAAGGGAGCCACACAATTGCTCTGATCCAAACAAATTAAAGAGGCTTGTTTTCCTTTGATGGACTTTCATATAAAGCCCAAGTACATAAGGCACTACCACAAGATTCATTCTTCTGTTAAATATAATTTCTGTTATATCAGGGCCTGCAGTTCTGATTCATTTTTTAGAAAGTTTTAGAAAAGTGCAAAGAATAAAATAGCAACCTCTTGTTTTCTTACCTCCCAGAAAGATCAACTATCACATTTTGTCATGTTCACTTCCAATCACTTCTTAAAGAAATGACATTCTGACAAGCTTCAGTTCCATTCCCTTCAGGCACAATTGCTTAGCTGATCTTAAGTTGTTGGACACGTATGAATTCTCACCTGGTAAAATAGTATGTCACCACCGCTCCTGCCACAGTCATCTGCTGACAGGCCAGAATGAATTCACTGATCCAAATCAGGCCCACCACATGGTACCACCACATGTACTGCAGAGGCCCCGAGACCCTGAACTCCACAAAGCCTTGGTCGTTCTTCACAGCGCTGCCTGGGAAAAGCAAGGAAGGGAAGAAGAATCACATAACGTCGAAACCACAAATACGGCTATTTAATTTAAGAGACTGATTTACTTTCCAAGAACAGGTCCCTACACCCAAACCACAAACTTATAATCACAGTGCTATCTCATTAAGGGACAAAAATAATTATCAGTTGAAAAGTTGTGAAGCCAAATATTACTCAGTTAAGCATTTTGTTTTCCCCAAAGCCATGATATAGATATACAGCTTTTAAAGTTTGTTCTGTTTGAATATAGTTCTTACCACATTATCAGTTACTTAGTTTAAGCATGAATTTGCAAATAGCTCTTAAATTTTTTTTCAGAGCTATTACTTGTCTAATAATGACAGACCTAAATTCTTAGCAAGGTACAGAAATTCATATTCTATTCAATTGGTGAATGTGTGCTGCAAGGTCAGAGAAATTACATACAAGTGTACTAACCTTACGCTGCTCCTCACAATGAATTCCATTTAGATGTAGCCTTTGATGTAAAGTATGGCTACAAGCAAATCTGAGAGTCTATGAACTGAATCATCGCTAGGAGCTTTAGCTAGGTTCTGATCATTTCCAAACGAGAAAATCCCAAGGAAGCAAGTTGAGCTTTAGCTCTAACTGAGTTTTAAGGCAATTCCACAGTGGCATTACATTCATTCTTTCATCTGAGAATGGATCCAAATGTCTGAGGGACTAGAGGAGTTTATTTCAAATCCATGACCATCTCAAAACCAGGATGCAATTACAGGCCTTACCTGGTTGACACCCACTTTGCTAGGATGATAAAGCTCATGATCAGAAAATGGGTTACTGAAGAATCATAGCCCCTGCTAGTTCCGATGGCTATTAGAACTTAGTCAATCAATGTCTGAAGACTTATATCTCTTTGATGTTTTAAATATGTTAATGCAAATCAGATTCATCCCTAAGAGAAAGAAGCAACATGTCTTCTTACCAGTAGTGCCAAGAAAAAGAAGTGTCATGATCCAGTACGCCCAAAACAGGACAAGGGCAAAGAAAGTCCAAAAGGGTTGGAAGACTAGCAGTGGCAAGTGAATGAAGACCTTGCCCGCCACGTGGAACAAGGCGATAGTGAGAGCAATGCGTTTGCGCATAAACAACATGATCAGGAACAAGATAACCTGTGTGGGGAGAATAGAGGGAAAAGGGTTAGTTACCATGTTAAACAGCAAAAACTGAAACTGGACAATGGTGGAAATTTTTACTGTAACGCCTTCATTCTAAAACGTGGAAGTTCCATTCTCTGAATCCCAGGAATACTTTATCGGTCTGTATCTCTCTTGCAGCACTTATCATTTTCAACAGTATATTGAGAATGTCCTTTAAAGCTAAATAAAAGGACTTCTCAATTTCTTATTAAATCCTAGAATTGGTCTCACTTTTCCTTTCGCCACTCATTACCAATCAAAATGTGTGGTTTGTCAGGTAGGATGAAACACCTCCTGTATTTGAGTAGATCTGTGCTTGTCACTTTGAAAAATAGGGGAGCAGCCATGGCTGGTTTGTTCAGTGGTTAGAGCGTCAGCCTGTGGACTGAAGGGTCGCAGGTTTGATTCCAGTCAAGGGTACTTTGGTTGAAGGCTCAATCCACAGTGCTTGTCGGGGTGTGTACAGGAGGCAACCAATCAAAGTGTCTCACTTTGATGTCTGTCTGTCTCTCCCCCTCCCTTCCATTCTCTCTAAAAAATCAATGAAAAAAATATCCTTGAGTGAGGATTAACAACAAAACAAAGAAAAATAGAGGAGCGGACCACATGCCATGAGCACAGGAGCACTGGGGGTATCTGGGCCTTGTCTCCCACTTAAGGCAAAAGCTCCTTAAGAACAGGGCCCATGCCAGATTCACACTTTGTTCACCAGCCTCTATCCTCTTGCCCTGGAATAGATAATTGAGCTTAAAGATGATTAATAAATATTTGTATAATAATAACAAACATATATTTTTCCACCAGTGGCTTTATTTTTTTGTTTCTAATGCTCAATATAAAGCTTGGGCCCAGCCAGTGTGGCTCAGCAGTTGAGCATCGACCCAGGAAGCAAGAGGTCACCAGTTCGAATCCCAGTCAGGGCATATGCCCGGGTTGCGGGCTTGATCTCCAGTAGGGGGCATGCGGAAGGTAGCCAATCAATGATGTTTCTATCTCTCTCCCTTCCTCTCTTGCTAAAAATCAATTTAAAAATATGTTTTTTAAAAAAGCTTAGGATTATACCTAGAAGTGGAGAAAGATGTCTTTTTCTTTTTTTCAGAGAGGAGAAGGAGATGAACCAAAGATATGCATATAGATGATTTAACCCCATGTTAATTAGTAATTTTACTGTACAGGTGCTAGGTAGCAAAGCTCACCTATATTTTTTGAAATAATGTTGTTAAAAGAAAAGTTTACAAGGAAAAATGGGAAATAATTAGTAAACAAATAAATGAAATGACAAGGTGATATTTCTTATCATACTTTTAAAAATATATCTATTTTATTGATTTTTTACACAGAGGAAAGGAGAGGGATAGTTAGAAACATCGATGAGAGAGAAACATTGATCAGCTGCCTCCTGCACCCCTCCCCCTGGGGATGTGCCCACAACCAAGGTACATGCTCTTGACCGGAATCGAACTTGGGACCTTTCAGTCCACAGGCTGACGCTCTATCCACTGAGCCAAACCAGTTAGGGCTTATCATAATTTTTTATAGTAAAAAGAAAGTCTTTTTTAAAAAGTAACTACATTATCTTGTGACAATAAGAAATATGTTCTACTAGTAAATAATAATGTAAATATTCTAGGTGAAAATCCTCTCAAAAAGCAGGCTGTGCAGAGCAAAATATTGCATCAGTAGCACTCATCAATTAGGGAAGCCAGCTGTGGGACAGAGATTTTATCTAATGAAGATCAAGGTTAGGCATGCCATAGCTAGAGGTGAGTTTCTCCTCCGTTAATGATCTCCTGTAAATAAAAGCATAAACCTGAACGTATACTCACCGTGAACACTGTAGCTGAAATGGCATAGATGAGGAGGGCCCGAAGATTGTCTTCAGCTATCTGGAGCTGCTCAGGAATAACTGTTTCTTTGGGAGACTTTCTTTGTTTTGCATATAGCCACCATAGTACACCTGTGCCACCTGGAGACAAAAAAAATAATTGTTTTTGCAATAATTAGCACCTGAAAATGTGTTGACAAATCCTCAATTTTCTGGATCCTTCCTACGTATCATCATGAGACTAGTGCAGCAGCAATCCACTTGGCTGGGAGGCGCATGGCTATAACTTTTTTGCCAGTGTAAGGGGAGCTCTAATTATTCCACTACCAACTTCCATAGACACTCATAGACACTCACTAATCTTTCAGTACATCAAATACACTTCCTTCAACTGTACTGATTACTGACTTTGAAGCTGAGATAGATAGATACCCCAAGAGGAGCTGGTTACAAAGAGAGCCTCAGCATCGGTTTAAGCTAGAGATCCTGGAGGGAGCAAGTAAGGGTCATAGAAATCAGCAACGAAGCAGAGAAAGACAAAGGTCTCTGCGTACACATCAGTCACCCTAGCACTGAGTGCCGACAGTCATGCAGCGGATGAAATATTTGTACAATGAATAAATGAAGATCAAAAGAGTAGTTCCCACCAAAGGTGAAAACAAAGGCAGAAAATCTTTGATAGTGGTGGATGCTAGGGATGGGAACTTTTATCTCTATTGCTGGTTCAGAGATTCCGAGAACTGGACTGAAGACAGAGGCAAACCCTTCATTTAATCCATTCAGCAAATATTTTGAGTGTCTAACAGCATCTCCTGTTTTAGGGGTTGGGGATAGAGCAGTAAACAAAGCCAAGTCCCCACCCTCACCCCTCATGAAGCTTCATACATAGCAATGGGGAAACATAAAAATAGGGGGGAAAGTAAAAACATAGCATATAAAGTCTAAGAACAAAGTCATCTAGTAAGAGGGACAGAAAGTGCTGGCATTGGGAAAGCACTGTAATTTTATATAAGATGGGTAAGCAAGGCCTCACCGGTGATGGATTTGAGCAAAAGAAAAACAGGAAGAGAAAAATCTATGAAACTAAGAAAAGAGTGTCCTAGGCAAGAGGTAAATTCTAAAAAAGAAGATATAGCATGTAAAAATTAAAAGTTTTATTTTCTTCTCTATATTTCTATTTTCTACCACGGAAGTAGTTAGATACCATGAGTAGTTATCACATTTATAAGTGGGAAGAGGAAATTAAAAAAAAAAGACAATAAACACAGAAGGCCCAGAAAGTTTCATTACAAACAGTAAACAAAATAGAATGTCAATAGACAGAAAAATGATAATGAAAATTTAAACACACACACACACACACACACACACACACTCTTATTCTGTCAGAAACACTTTTCAAACAGAAAGAACTTCAACAACTTACAATGGCTGATTCAGGCCTTACAAAGTGCCAGATAAAAGAAAAGGATTCCTTTACTTGCTTGGCAGAGAACATTGCAAGAATCAAGTGAAAATTAAAGAGCCAGAAGCCAAACAGAGCCTCGATTGCTGTCTTTTCTCTTGGGTTCTTCCCCCCAAATTAAAAAAAAAAAAGTTAGCTCCTTTAAAAAATAATCTTCATTTGCCAATGACCTCACCTTTTTATTTGATTTATTGATCTCAGCATGACCTAACTTCAATGTCATCCACTTATCAGTTTAAATTAATGCAGAGCAGAAATTTTTTTTAAATACTCAAAGTAGTTCCAAACTGAGGCAGTGTCAGAAGCAAGCTTTAATTCTCAGTTCTAATTACTGAAAAACAAAGAAGTAAGCAGCTTACCAAGTGACCCCAGTATGACCAGAATTGTCACGATCCACACAAGTACTCTTGATATATACCTGATTATCACCATCAAAATCATGGACAGAACTGCAGGGAAGATAAATAGAAAACATGTAGAATATTATTTGGAAAACACTGGAAAATATAAAGATAAATTCTTTCAGTTGTTTTCTCCCATGGAAATAATTTGTTGCTATTGACAAGTTCATGATCCCAATTTAGGTAACAAAGGAAACAGGTTGCTTTTGCACTCTGACTTTGGTACTTGTGCCACTTGAAACCAAAGGCACCTAACGTGGGTGTATAAACACAGAAAAGGATACATGCAAATGCACATGGTGACTCAAAAACAGCATAGAACTGTTGTGGACTCACCACAGAAAGGCATCAGAACTCACATGCAAACACACATGCCAACACACGAAGTGCAGAGAATGACATGTCATGTTGGGTGACCAGAAAAATTCTCACACATAGAGAGAGAGAGCATTTAAATTAGGTGCTACACTTCCTTGAGTAATTTATGCATTTTAGGACCAATTTCTCTGATGGTTGGTTAATAAACTAGATGGTATTTTATCTTTTTTTCTGGTTGTTTCTCCTCTGAAATTCTAAGAGATGGTCGGACCCTATGGGGTAATATCCTGAAGCCTACTGAAGCCCAAATTCCTCTGGCCTCAAAGTTTGAGTTATTCAGTCAACCCTTCTACCCATCCCCAGCTAAATTCCAACATGCTAAAATATTGAGTGAAAAATCTCAAAAAAGAAAGTGGGGGGATTTAACCCATTTTATGGGGAAATTTGTTGTTGAAATCTTAATTTGTACACCTTTTAATTATCTAAAGGCCCACTTCACAAACAAATGGACAAAGACCTTAAGCCTCATAAGAGAACCACTCTAAGAAAAAGCTGGAATTCCAATGACTTAACATTATTGTCACTATTTTTAAGGTTTAATTTTTTTTCTTGGTAAAGTATTCAACTATTTCAGAAACCAAATAATTTTTATATAAAACCAGGCTAATAGTCAAGCTTTTATGGGCCATTCACAAAGCCAAAAAAATTAAGATCTGTGACTAGGTAACATTATTAGGGTACTCACTTTTGCAATAAGTGTATAGGAACTAAAAACAGATGGGAGCATTTCAAATATCATAGAAATAGCTTTTCATATGGACAGCCTTTTTTCAACTGAGACAAGTACTACACCTAAGCAAAAAGAAAAGACTCTCTAATGACAAGACGGAAATACAGCTAGTCTTCCAGGTGACTACCAGTATACTTGTTAACAGGCATAAATATCGTTTTACGTAAAAAATGAAATGGTCGTTTGGTTCCTACCAGTTTCCTTCTCCCTTATTAAAAAAGTCTATAAATTCTAATATGGCTACATATAGTTCTGCGATAATATAGGGTGTTTACATCTTGAAAATAACAGTTTTATTTGGTTCTATTGTCTACTTATTGATGAGAAAACTCAATGGCTAACAAGTGGAGATTTTCTAATTTTCCCAGCAATAGAGTGATATTATGACCTGTTGCATGGGGTGTGGGGAGGGTTAAATACTTTAAAAGTAATCAATCAGAAATCTATGTTCTTTGATGGAAATATATATAAAAAAATATGTGGCCTCTTTTTATAAGCGAATAAACCAAAGATTAGATTCATAACTAAAAACAAAGGGGCATTGATTTGTTAAAAGTAGCCTCCTGCTATAATGTTAAAGGTTATTATAGACTTAGTAACCAAAGTTTGGAGAAAACACTAGTTTTCTCCAATGAGAGGAAAAGAACAGAAATGAGTTTCAGATATATATAACTATATATAATCTGAAACAGTTATTTTGGCTATGGGAAGTGAAACATTTTACAAGTATCCCCAGTTGTATTCATATTTTTGGTTAAAAGACAAAACAGTCTTCTGCTGCAGTACTATGCAATAGCTAATAATGAGAAAAACAATTACCTAGTGATAACAAGCAAAGTCCCAATATAATTTCTTTGCTGGCCATTACTCCACTAATCAGCCTGTGTAAGACACTATTGTCACTGACAAAGGTGATCAGGGCCTCTGCAAACTTGGCATAGCAGGAAATGTTCACAGGAGCACAGCGATGGAAGAATGGAATAGGTGCACTGGTGACACAAGAAAAAAAAATCAGAAAAAAAATTACTCCTACTTAATATAAATGCCACATCAAACACACAAATGAAAGGTGAATGTGACTGCAATACACTCCACCCTCCACACGTCATATGGGAGCTAAGAGCTGTGAGCTTAATGCTATGAAGATGACTGTCATGGGCAGTGATGCAACTCTTACCACAAACCTTATCAAAGAGGGTGGAGTGCATGTTCCAACAGAAGACATTACCCTCCCCTTCTGAAAAGAAACACACACACACATATACACACACATACACACAGATACAACCTCCAGAAGCAAACCCAAACACTTGAACTCCTCAGCCTACACATCTATCAATCAAGGGGCAGATGACAAAACTTACAAATGTATCCTTCATTGAATTGAAAATGAATTTTTGCCATAAGCTATTTAAAAATAAAAACACACCTGGGCTTTTGCTTGAAATGTGCCCCCGTTAATGGAATGGTCTCCTCTATCAGAACGACATACAAAACCTTAGATTTAAAAAGATGCTTGGGCACAAGCTTAGGAACTCCTGTAAACTAAGTCATACTGAGGCATGTGCATGACTTAATCAGCACAATCGGCAGCTATGTAAAACAATAACCATGAATACTGATGTATGGAAATAAGGACGATGTAAGAGCACAAGGGGGAAATATAACCAAAAATATATATCTAATGTGATGATGGCATCTCTGTATAAAAGATATATACATATGAATCAGGACAAAAAAATATAAGCAAATGAAAAATCTCTACTTGGTAGTATTATGGGGTTTGGGGTTATTTGCTTTCTTTTTATATGTTTTTACTTTAAGATTATTAGTGTCCAAAAATGAGGTAATCTGCTGCTTCAGGCTTGTATGGACTGCATTTTACTTGTGAAGGAACATAGCTATGTGTGCACCATGACATTAATCAGGTTTGTTATTAACATGGTTCTACTTTACCTTCTGAGAGGATGGTATACATCTAATCACGAAGAGATTTTAAACAAAGCGCTATGAACATGCCCTCAGCTGAGATTTCTTTGGATTCTAAGACAGCTCTATGTGTGTACCAATGCAAGAATACACACTTACGTGTGCATTAAGTTAAATTTTAGCCATTGCTAATGTAAATCCCACATCTTCAGAATTATTTGTAGGACTGTCAGTCACAGTTCTAATATACCATTTTGACTAGAATGATATAATTATGTTCTTATTCTTGGTTGGCACTGTATGTGGGTCAAATCAGTAGATAAGATTACATGGTTGAGCATCAGATTCTAAGGTTTCTAATCTCAGCAAAGCAACTTTGTATGACCACAAGCAAAGTACTATCCTGGTTTCCTTCCTCAAATGTTGATCAATAAGCACCACTGGGAGTGAGAATAAGCAACGTCTTCCATACTGGTAAACTTCATGGAACAATAAGACAATATAACTTTAGAGATCTTGCCTTACCTTAGTTATGCTTCAGTAAAATGTATCCCAAAATGATGTGACAATTTGACATGAATGTTTATTTGTAAAAATTTGCCTCTTGTGATCAATGGGTGTATTTGTGTATATCTCTAAAATAGTGTTAGTAAAATCGTTTTAGTGAAAGTTGATACCAAAGATTTGATATTTTGGCAGAAACTGCAGAAAGCTGAAGCATTCTGAGTGATGCCTGTATTAAGGGTATGCAAATCATAGTTTTTTTTTTCACTAAAAGTTGTTTCACTAATGATATACAAAGATATTAAATTACAGAATACTTTTAAATGAGCTGGACTTAGACATATTATAAGAAAAAAGATAAAATAGGATTAACTATAAATTCCTAAGCCAATAGAGCAGTGGTTCTCAACCTTCCTAATGCTGGGACCCTTAATACAGTTCCTCATGTTGTGGTGACCCCCAACCAAAAAATTATTTTCGTTGCTACTTCATAACTGTAATTTCACTACTGTTATGAATCGTAATGTAAATATCTGATATGCAGGATGTATTTTCATTGTTACAAATTGAACATAATTAAAGCCTAGTGATTAATCACAAAACAATATGTAATTATATATGTGTTTTCCGATGGTCTTAGGCGACCCCTGTGAAAGGGTCGTTCGATCCTCAAAGGGGTCTCGACCCACAGGTTGAGAAACGCTTCAATAGAGGCTGATTTAGGGGAAAGAAACCTTTAAACTGGTAACTTTGTTGGGACCTACAATTGTTTTTCATTTTTGTGTGTATGTGCATGGTTGTTTTTTCCTGATGCTGTCTAGATACTGTTACTACCAGGTTAATGTCCGCATCTAAGGAAGTCTAACCCTATGTTTAACTAGGCGTGGTTCTCTAGCCTTCAAAACTAAAGTCCTCTTGGGTCCATGATTATATACATCTTCACTTGCCTTATTACCCCATTATTTCTGATGCAGCCTCTGTTTAACTCACTTGCCTCCAACCTTAAACATAAAATAGATCTATCTTAAGGATATTACCGATGTCTTTTTCTCATACTTAATCCCATCAATTTGTTGGCCCTGCTTTCCTGTTTCCCTTTTCCTGTCAGATAACCATAGTGAACTTGATCCTCTGGCCAGAGATGGCTATGCCTACAGCTCCCATATCCTAACAGGATTTTTTTTTTTTTTTTTTTAAATATTTTTATCGATTTCAGAGAGGGAGAGGGAGAAAGAGATAGAAACATCAATGATGAGAATCACTGATTGGCTGCCTCCTGCATGCCCCCTACTGGGGATTGAGCCTACAATCCCGGCACGTGCCCTGGACCCGAATTGAATTTGGGACCCCTTCAATCCGCAGGCTGGCGCTCTATCTGCTGAGTCAAACCAGCTAGGGCCTAACAAGATGTTTATGTATTTTTATACTCAAAGAAACACACATCTTTTCTAAAGAGAGTGAAGCCTGTGATAAAGGAAAGAAACCTGGGCTTGGGTTCAAAAGCCCTGGGCGATTCTCCTAACATGACAGAATTGCACATCACTCCACCCCTCTTTCTCAGTTTTTCCATCTGTGAGGTGAAAAGGTAGGAATAAGTCCTCTGTCTTTTCAGATATGAATAGTAATAACAATAATATTATGCCTACCCAGAAACGAATGAATGATTCTAAGTTCATAGAAGCAGCAAGCCCAGTATCTTTAGTATGTTTCTGCTTTTCAGACTTAGAATGAGAACAGATTATTTGAAGATGGAAGGGTTCTTCTGTTAAAATTCAAATCCTTCATTTTTTAAAGAGGAAAGACTGAATAATATCTGCTCTGAACTTACCCTTTCTCGTCATTTTTATAATGTATATAAACACACGGCAACTGAAGAGGGTACTTTTACATGTATCCCTCAAAGAAATGAAGCACAATAACAATAGCCCTTGGCCTTATCATTCAATCTATGTCCGTTAAGGAAAAAAATCCTGACAGCTCTAAATTTGAAGGTTATAAAATTAGCACAAGCTGATTAACTACATTTTTTAGCTGACGGTCAAAATGGTCAAAATCTGCTCTCACTGGTACAGAGTAATAGAAATAGAAGGCAAAGAAGATAATATCTGGACAGAGTAGTAAGAAATGAAGTTAAACACAGCTTTAAAGTAAAAAGGATTAGATCCCTTTATATGTCATTCTTTTTTTCAACTCTTCCCCCCAAATAATTCCACCATCCATGAGTGAATGCTTAAATTGTTTCCTTATTTTAAAATCTATGTAATTGTGGCATTATGGTTTGTCTTATATTTTTCTATTTAAATCCCATGTGATCTAATGAATTTAGGATTAGATGAGTTAGCTGATTTCATCTACCTCTCAGAAAATAATAATTCTGAGAACCTAGTATATGAGACCATTTCTGCTTTAGTGACTAACCTACATGACATATTCTGTGCTTCTTAATTAAGAGGACAAGCATAAAGAATTATATTTGCAGTAAGTTTTACTACTTTTCGAAGCCCACAGAACATTGAATCTTTAAGAAGTCAATGTTGTTCCATTAGGAACTGTTGCTGTTTCACATTATTGAAACATTAGTGAACAAGAACAAAATGAATTTATAATGAGTCTTTTAAAGACTTAAAAAAATGATCCACTCATAGGAAAATTGTATCTTACCTTGGCAAACATACTGTCCATTTGCCTTTAAGCCCAGATTATCACAATTAATGAGCTCCCTCAAAGTATGCCTAATATCTCTTCTCCATATGCCTTCAGAAGAGAAGACAGGTGTTGGCATCTCACACAATTATTTTATTAAATTTCAGGTTATAAAACAAAAAACCAAAAGCCATAACTCATAGAGGCAGACAATAGACCAGTGGTTACCAGAGGGGAAGGGGTGTGGAGGGAGGGTGAAATGAGTAAAGGGGGTCAGTTATACGGTGACAAATGGAAACTAGACTTTGGTGGTGAGCATGATATGATAAACACACAGATATCGAATTATAATGTTGCATATCTGAAACTTATATAATGTTATAAGCCAATGTTACCTCAATTAAAAAAACAACCTCAGGTTATAAACAAACAATTACACCTGATTTCTAACTAAAAGGTTTATTTAAGAACAAAGAAAAAAATAGAGGATTCTGGCAATATCTCCAAAGCACAGAAAAGGTAGGAAAAGAGTAAGTCAAGAACCTAATGGCAATATGCAATGGTTTTCATACATTTCATTTTATTTTTTTCTCTTCTCCCATTCCTGTAGTCTCTCTTTAAAATACAAACAACCCCCCCCCCTGCCCAAAACAACAACAACAACGAACTGTAGGATAGACTTTACAAGATATTAGATTCAAATTCTGATTCCCAACAATTAGTTGTATGCCCTTGAATAACTCATTTAATCTCTCTTATCTTCTATTTCCTCATCTACAAATTGGGACAATATCCTTACAGGCTTTTGTGAGGATTAAATGACATTATACATGAGTAGCTTAATATGGTAGCTGGCATACAGGAGATGATTTATAAATGTTAATTTACCTTGAATAAAAAAAAATTACCTTGAATCCTTCATTTTAAAAATAAATAGATAACATTTTTTTTCTTGGCTGTTAGTTTACCATCTCTATATTATGTTATTAACTCGCCATCATCCAGCATCCTTTCTGGTATCCAGAGGTACCTAAATCAATGTTTGGTGAATAAACTGAATTTATGTAATCTGTTCCTACCATTTCGATTTTCTCTGTCTATACCTAAACCTTTAAACATTGTAAGTGTACAGACTAGGTTGTCTCCTTATTGCTTAACATGTCACCAACAGAGTTATGAATTTGAGTAAAATATGATCGCCTTTCTAGGCATTTGTTTTTAAAAGTCAAAAGCACTTCAAAATAGCAACCATTTGGCAATTACATGGCACTAGTGTTTTATTGAAAATTAGTTTACAACTGCTTTTCTCTAAAACAGTCACTGCGTTCTGCTGCAGAAGGTGCCTGGGTGCCTAGGAAGTTTGGGGGTAAAGGGGGGCGGACTCTAGAGCAGGGATGGGTAAACTTTTTTCTGCCAAGGGCATTTGGATATTTATAACATCATTCACAAAAAATTATACTTAAAATTAGCCTGCTATATTTGGTCAAACATTTAATTAACTCATCCCTAATGCCTTGGCAGGGCCAGACCAAATGATTTTGCAGGCCTTATACAGCCCATGGGCTGGACGTTCCCCACCCCTGCTCTAGAGGTTGAGAGAAATAATACTATCAAGCCAAATGCCAAGCACAATAATGGGTGTGTAATACATATTATTGTATTTAATTCTTATAATTCCATGGCAGAGGTATTAAATTCCCATTTCACATGAGGAAACTTTGTTTACAGAGAGATTAAGAGACTTGCTCAAGCTGACCAATAGAACGTGGTGACAGAGAATTCACTCCCCCCGCCCCCCCGCCGCCAAAAAAAAAACAAAACAAAACATTTCCAGGCCTATCTAGGCTCAAAGTGCAGCTCTTTCTGTCCCACTAGGGTGCTCCCAGGAGGACAAAAAGATATGAAAGATGCCAGGAGCCATTAGCCTGCATCACAAGTTTGCCTAGAGCAATATATATATACTAGAGGCCCAGTGCATGAATACGTGCACGGGTGGGGTCCCTCTGCCTGGCTGGCGATCTGGGCCAATTGGGGCAGTCTCCCGCCCAGATCAGGGCCCAGGGCCCATCAGGGCGAGCAGGCCTGGGGGAGGGGCCGCAGGTTGGCCAGCGGCCTGCCCTGATCAGGGCCATAGCGGTGGGCCGGCGTGGGGCGGCAGCGTGGGAGGTTGGCTGTGGGAATGCACTGACCACCAGCTCCTGTGTTGAGTGCCTGCCCCTGGTCAGTGTGCATCATAGCGACTGGTCAACTGGTCGTTCAGTCCTTCGGTTGCTTAGGCTTTTATATATATAGATATATTCATCATGTACAAAAACAGTCCCTAATTTTTTAAGGATAGAGTTTCTTGGGGACAGAGACTAGATCTTAGTCGACTTTTTAGATTTGGTATCTAATATTATTGTGAAACAAGGTAGCGTCCCAAGTGTTTTATTAAAACCAATTTATTCTGTTTTCTGATCCTTTCACTTTGCTTGCCAAATTGTAAATAATGATATTTATAATTTACCTTCCTCCTATCAACTATTTCTTCTCCTCTGTTTTCTAATAGGCTGAGTTCAGACAAAAGTGATAAGACACTTAGATTATAAGGGTCTTTAAATAAAGGATAAACATACTATATAGTCAGTTTTCAGATGGTATAAGTTCATCATTGCATCTTGGATTACTGACACATTAGTGGATGACCTTGTTAGAAGCCAAGTCTGTCCATCTCTAATATCTAAGCCCCTCTTACTACTAGGCTTTGTCTTTCGGGGCATGCCCTTAGGATGCTGTATGTGAGATGTGTAGGTCTGTGAAGCCAAGATTAAAACACCTCAGATAACTAGAAATAGGCAGCCCCTAACATGGTAGAATCAGAGATCAGAGGTGGAGGAGAATTTGTGGTATGAGCTGCCCCCAACCCATACTGTATAGGAGCAGAACAACCTCATTCTCAGACCAAGGCTCTCTGGTCATGCTTTTAGAATACATTTATGCCTTAAAATAGTAACTCTACTCAAAGTATGCATTTAAAACAGGCTTTAACAGTTCAGTAAGATAAAGCTTTTCTTACATTGATAAATTTTCTCCAGAGACTCTATTCAAAGGACCTCTACTTCTTTACTGTGATAGCCTCCCCAATATTCTCAATTTTCACAAATGGAGTCTCTTTACCTATTAGTCTGAGCCCATAATTTGTAGATCCCTTTTACTTAATATCTTTTAAAATAGTCCCTTTATTTTTACGTCCAAAGGCTTAAAATTTTAACATCAATAGCAACTTGACAAGACTAAAAGCTGAAATCAATTTAATGGATATGTCCTTTGTCTACTTTTCAACAGAAAATTTCAAATTCAAGTTAATAACACACAAATTACACCTATAAGCAATCCAAAGGAAAATAGACATGACTGTCAAAATTTTAAGCAACAGCTTGCTATAATATACTGAGATACAATAAAAGTGGTTCAATTCAGTATTCCTAGAGAAGTTGACTCATGTCAGACACGGTTAGTGATACATGCAAAGGTTCTTAAGATCAGACATGTTCCAAATCCTGTATGCCCAATTCTGAGGATATTTTCTACAGTGTTTGAAAATTTATCTTCTTTTTTAAAAAAATTTTTTTTTATTGATTTCAGAGAAGAAAGGAGAGGGAGAGAGAGATAGAAACATCAATAATGAGAGAAAGAATCACTGACTGGCTGCCTCCTGTACTTCCCCCACCAGGGATAAGCCCAGAACCTGGGCATGTGCCCTGACTAGGAATTGAACCCCAATTTCCAGGTTCATAGTTCAATGCTCAACCACTGAGCCACACCAGCTGGGCTATCACCTTTCTTATAAATCTATTTACCGGTATAAATTTTAAAATTTGATTTACTTATAACTACGGTGAGATTATTTCTCATCCTTGTATCCATTATATGTAGTACGTACTTAATAACAAATGTCTGTTGAATAAGACCTTGGATAAGATATGCAAACAGCCTATAGCAGAGAATGTACCTGAAGGATATAGCCTGAAATAGACTAAGGAGAATAATCACTGCCATATATATTTTTTTAATTTGCAAAATAAATTGAAAAATAATCCTAAGTATTTGTAGGATCAATTTCAAAGAATCTTTGGACTGTGAGGCTTGGCTTCTAAGTTTACTGCAGATTTTATGGTTCAGCAATTTTGTGTACTTAAATATTAAGGCATTGAAAAAGTGGGGGAGCCCCCACAAGAAGTGTAAAATACCTGATAATAAGAAAAGTTGTTTGCCTGTGTGTGTGTTTTTTAAGCTGTAAATTAGATGCTATTATTTCTACTACTACTTTTAAATTTTTGATGTAAAAGTACTAGACCTACACAACTGGTATCATCAAGTGACCCTTTTCTCAGAATAACATACAGTTTACAATCTACCTACGAAAACAAAAGTCACAAGTTAACAAAATACGATAACATTTACCTCGCTGGAACTGGTAGTTTGGGGCAAAGAGAAGACGCTTTTGAAGATGTGTATTCAGAAGGCTTTAGCTTGTAGTGACATAGTGCTGAGCCTGTTGAAAGAAAGTTAAATGTTAGCAAACAGAGTCTGAATAAGTTCTCTTATTAAGGCACTTTAATTTTATTTTGTATGTGAATGTTAATTCAACATATATAACTTTCAAACATTATATAATCAAAAAGAATCTGATTTGGTCTATGGTATTGGTCCTCCATCATTTAAAACGTTTCTCCTACAGTAACTTACATACAAATTTTAAGTGATAATATTAAGGGTATACAAGTACTAGACTACCTTT